AAGGAAGGAAGGAAGGAAGGAAGGAAGGAAGGAAGGGAGCGGAATAGAACAGAGGAGGAACAGAGTAGGAACAGAACAGAACAGAACAGAACGGAACGGAACGGAACGGTAAGCCAGGAAGGGACGGATAAGAGGGTTGGGTGGGGGCATGGGGGTTGGCGGTGAGAGTTCGGTGGTGGCAGTCGGTCGACGGGCGGCGAGTTCTCAGTCTGTCCTGCGCCGTCGAAACGAAGGAAGCGCCGCTCGTCGTCGAGCGCGACGTCGAGCGCGACGAGCCGACGAGCCCGTGCCCCTCTTAGTTCGCGTTCGCTCGCCGTCACGGGCGTCACATTTTCTCCTTTTGTTTCGATTGCGCGAACGCGCGCGATCCTCGCTTTCCTCTTCCTCTTCTCCTCCTCCAGTCGCCTTCCCGAATCGCCCCGTCCAATTTCGACTCTCTCGACGCCGAAATCTCGTCACATTTCCGACAATCCTCTCTCTCTCTTTCTCTGATTTTTTTCGTCCATTTCTCTCTCTCTCTCTCTCTCTCTGTCTTTCAAGCACGCATCTCTGTCTCTTCTTTTTCTTTCTTCGTCTCTCTCTTTCTCTCTCTCTCTCTCTCTCTTTGTCTCTCCCTTCTCTTTGCGCACAACGTTTTTCTCTAACGTCACGATCCGCCTTCTTTCTCTCCTCGCTTTCTCCCAGTTTCGTACGCACTCTCCGTCTCCGTATTTTCCTGCTCATTTCCCATGACTCGTGCCATTCTACACGACCGACGAGTCGACGCGACAGGAGCGAATGTTCGAGGCTGAATTTTCCCCTCCCCGAAGGAAAAACCGTGAACGCGGCAATGTTGGATTTTTTGCTACGGACTTGATCCAGAGCCGTGCATCGACCACCTTCGTGCCGAGGTAGGTTCATACGTTTACGTTCACGCTTCTCCGCGCTTACGTTCACTTCACTGGAAAATATGGTTCGTGGCTTTTTGATTTTGAACGATCGGAGAACCGATACGCGTTATGGATGGACTGTCAAGAATCGACAGTTGATCCCTGACCATTGACCAGTTGAGTCATTCCCGTGTTGTTCTCGTGTAGTTCTGATCCATTACCAATCTAAGCAAGTAAACCTTGCGATAACTCGCTGAAATCATACCGCAAGATAAGTCATTTTTTACGTGTTTAGCTTCACATTTTGTACGAGATTCTCTCCCAATCCTTCGCGAACACTTGTGCGTTTCTTTTCTCATTTTCTCTCTTTTTCTACGTGCCATGGTCAACTGATGTCCGTTGTTTCATGATAGATTTATATCCGTTCTCTGACGTTTAAATCGTTCGTTGCTGTTCACAACGGCCGACGAAATCGCTCGAAGCTCTCGTTCAATTTTTAACGAGAGTCATTCATCGACGTTTCTCTGGCGCGATTTTAAAGCCTGTTTTTTCTTCCTTTTCTTTTTTTTTTTTTCTTATAGAAGGATCGTAATTACGCGAAATCGTTCGCCTCCGAGAGACATGCCACCGTGATTTGCATTCCGATCGCTCGAATTTCGCACGCGTGTAAAAAATTCTATCGTTCTCGGTTATTGTCTCGATCCAATCTCGTTTCTCCAAGTTGTACGAATCGAATTGAAACGAACGAACGAACGAATTTCAAGACGAGAAGCTCATCTGTATGTTGGTTTACT